GTGGCGCGCCGGCCGGGGCCGCGGCGGCGGGGACGGGGGGCGCGGGAGCGGATGCGCAAGCCTTGCGGGAGTCGCTGCTGGGCGACGCGGCCGCCGCGGCGCCCGCCGCGGCGCAGCAGCCCGCCGCACACCCTGGCCGCGGGTCGCCGCTGCCGCCGGCGACGCACCTCTTCACCCCCACCTCGGGCCGCTCCGCCTCGGACGGGAGCAGTGTGGAGATGATGAGCACCCAGGCCGCCAGGGGCGCGCCCGGCGCCAGGTTTGTGTGTGATGGGGGGGGAGATTGTCAGGCTGGACCGTATGCAGTGGGCTAGGTCATCCTGCGCTTCCAGCCCTGTGCGGCTGGGGGCACGGCACAGAGAGGGACCTGAGTTGTTCTCCACCAGGGCCCTGCATTCTTGGATGTTGATGCCATGCTCGCCTGGATGCGTCGGCCTGACATATGTAGTATGCTCTGTTCTGCTGGTTGTTGGCCCTCTTCCCCCTCATGACCAGGTGCGTCACCCCCCACGCACTCTCCACCCCCACGACTGCAAACATCCCCTGCCACCCTCAAGCCTCCCTCACTCCCTTTCCCCCCTGACACACCAAAAACACAGGCATGCTCCCCCCCTGGCGGCTTTCGAGGTGCGGGGCCGGTACCGCGACCTGCTGGAGATGTCGGTGCGGGAGTACCGCCGCCGCGCGCTGGCTGATGTGGCGGAGTCGCGGAGCTACATCGCGCGGGGCATCAGCGCCGCGCCGCGCCGCGGGCCGCCGGGGGCGGTGCGCCCGGGGTCGCGCGGCGGCGACGCCTCCGACTCCGAGGCGGGGAGCGAGCTGGAGAGCGTGAGCGGGGCGAGCACGCCCCGCGTCTACGAGTTCAAGCTGGACCGCATGGAGCGCGGCGGGGGCGAAGGGAACGGCGAGGGGGCCGGCGACGAGTTCCTCTGGACCGGGCGCTCGACGGGGCCGCCCCGCCCCGGCCCGGCCCCGCCGCCCACGCCGCAGCCCTCGGGCGCGCTGCCCGACTCGGCGCCGTACGGGCCTGAGCCCGGTCCGTGCACTCGGGAGCCGGGCACCCTGCCCTCAGCCTCCACCCAAACGCTCCCCGACGCCAGGTGGCGCGCGCCCGTCGACCGAGCGACGCGGGCCTGGTCGGCGATCCAACCCAGGCTCGCGCTCTGCCTGTGGGCGTTGGAGCGCCCCTTCGTCCTCGCCCTACGCGCCTCGGTCCCGCTGGTGGAGAAGGACGCGTATCGCCGCGGCTGGTTCGTGCTGTCGGCGCTGCTGGCGCCCTCCGCGCTGAACTTGGCGCTCCAGCGCTTCGACGCGGCCAGCCTGGCGGCCGCCGCGGGCGCGGGCGCGGCGCTGGCCGCCGCCGCGGGCGTGCTGACGCACCCGGGCGTGCTGGCCTCCCGCCCCCCCGACTGGGCGCTGGGCACGGGGTACCCGCTGGGCGCGCTGCTGGTGGCGCTGGCGGGGTTTGCCGTCGCCGCGCTCTGGATCAACCTGGCGGCCAACGAGCTGGTGGGCCTCCTCCAGTTCTTCGGCGTGCTGTCGGGCGTGCAGCCCGCGGTCCTGGGCGTCACCGTCCTGGCCTGGGGCAACTCCCTGGCCGACCTGGTGACCAATGCCAGCCTGGCGCGGCGCGGCGCGCACGGCACCTCCATGGCCATGACCGCCTGCTTCGCGGGGCCCATGTTCAACGCGCTGCTGGGCCTGGGCGTGGGCTTCGCCACCGCGCTGCCCGCCGCGCCGGGGCGCGCGCTGGCCGTGGCCCTGCCCCCCGTCGCCGCGCTGGGCATGGCCTGCGCCGTGACCAGCGCGCTGGCGCTGGTGGGCGTGGCCCTGGCGCGCGCGCGCCGCCTGCCGCGCTGGGTGGGCGGCGCGCTCATGGCCTGGTACGCCGCCTACCTCGCCGCCGTGCTGGCCCTCGTGCTGACCGTCCAGGAGTGAGGCCGACGGGCGGCACGGAATGCAGGAGGCTCCGGGGCCGCAAAACCCTGCAAGGTAACAGCTGCACAAAGGCCCTTCAGCAGAAACTTCCCAGACCTCTGACTGACGCGGTGAACCACCCAGAAACATCTAAACCCTTCGTGCCTCTGCTCCTTCTCAGCTGTAAAAGTGTACATGCACAGCGCATCGGCGCCGGCGACAGGGCGACAGGGAAGGATAAGAGGTGATGAGGGCAGGGATGTGGTACGCAGTCACATTCTCAAGCTGGGCACCGCACCCCTGCGGGGAAGGGGGGTCTTGCGTGTCACCTGCAGGTGGCTATCAGTGCGGCGATTCGGTGCGGCGCAGGTCTGTCGGGACGCGTCGGGGGCCGTGCCCTCTGCTGCGCAGGCTGCACGACCGTTGGGCCGCGGGGAGGACCAGGGCTGCCAAGGTACATGGTCGGTGGTCGTCATACAATGGTGTGGTGGTGTTACGGGTGGCGCAGCGGGGGGGGCCCTGGTCAGCTGGGGCGCCTGCTCGGCGCCTCTCTGTCCAGGACCAGCCCTCCTCGGGCGGCCAGCGTCGCTGCAGCCCGCAGCAGCAGCTGCGCCTCGGCGCGCTCGCTCAGGCCTCGCCCTCGAGCGGGCCCGGCGGCAGCGCGGCGCGCAGCATCTCGCGCGCCCCCGCATCCAGTGCTGGCGGGAACTGGACGTCGAAGCGGACACGGAGGTCGCCGCGCGCGCCGGCGCCCAGGGGCATGCCCTCCCCCGGGATCAAGCGCTCGGCGCCCTGGGCCACCACGCCCTGCACGCTCAGCGCCAGCTCGCGCCCGTCCAGCGTGGGCACGAGGGCAGTGCAGCCGCACAGCGCGTCCACCAGCGCCAGGCGGTGGGTGTACACCAGGTCGGCGCCGTCCCGCACATAGCTGGGGTGCGGGCGCTCGTTCACCACGAACACCACGTCGGCGGGGATGCGGCCGGGGCGCACGTCGCCCTTCTCGGGGAAGGTCACGCGCGTCCCCGCGCGCCAGCCAGGCATGACCTGCACCGTCAGCACCTCGCTGCGCCGGCCAGTGGCGGACTCGGCGATGGGCACCGCGCGGTCCACACGCATGCGCTTGGTGGTACCCTGGTACAGCTCCTCCAGCGTACAGTGCAGCGGCACCTCGATCGCCACGTCCTTCTTGAGCGCTAGGGGCGCGGCGGCGCCTGCTTGGGGGCATGCAGAAGGTGAGGGGGGGGTTCGTCGGGGCCAGGCGAGCACGGCTGGGTGCCGAGAGGGCATGCCTTCCGACGACGACTCCTTCACGAGAACTCATCGGCGGGCCCGTCTCGGTGACCCACCGACCCCAGCTGCGCTGCAGGCTCCCCCCACCGCCTCACCCGGGAAGGCCCTTCCAGGCGCACAGGGCTGGCCCGCCTGCGGCGCGTCGCCCGAAAACATGTCGCTGAAGGTCGAGAAAAACTCCTGCTGAAAATTGTGCTGGAAGGCGGAGGAGCAGGCCGCGAACCCGGCAAAGGCGCTGGAGGCGGGGCAGGGGTGGGGGCGCTTTGCGGAGGGCGTGTCGCCGGGGCTGGCCGAGAAGGCCGTGGCAAAGAAGGCGGTGTGCGTGCCACTGACCCCGGCGTCCCCCCAGCGGTCGTAGGCGGCCTTCTTCCTGGCGTCGCTCAGGACCTCATAGGCCTCCATCACCTCCTTGAAGCGCTGCTCGCAGTCCTGCTTGTCCAGCTGGGTCTTGTCCTGGGAACAGGAGCGAGGGGAGTTGCCCGGTGGACAGCTGTGCAGGGACGCAGGACAACGCCGGAGGGGCTCTACACCCCATGCGCTCCTGAGGAACCGCAGGAATCTCAACTCCCCCCCCCCCCCCCACGATTCGGACTACACCATGCAGCAGGGGCCCCAGTCATCGGCCCATCACACACATACCGGGTGGAACTTCATGGCCAGCCTCCGGTACGCTGCATGATTGAGGCGATGCGAGATGCCGTGAAGCGTTGTGGCACATCTTTATTCCCAAGATACAATGAATGGGTATCGTGCGAGGTAAAGAGAGCATGGGATGAGCCTCTCCACTCCCCTTTGCCCGTGAGGCTCACCCTTTTTGAGTTCGCACTCGTCGTCGCAACCCCTCCTTACTCCTAGCACCGCATAATAGTCCTTGCCCATGTCGCTTCGGCTTCAGGGCAGTCTTATTGATATGCGCCGAGGAAATGGGGACTACATGCGCTCCGCTGCTCGCCTTCGGGCGAACAAGCGGGAAGACTGGGGTCACGGTGGAGGGCACAACAACGGGCAGGTAGCGCTGTGAGCAGGTCCACTGTGATGCAAGCTTGCTGGGCTGACAGCACTCTGGGAATTCCACCTCAACAGCGGCAGCGATGTGGCTGTTTGTGGGCGAGCGGGAGGAGTGGCGAGCCCGTCTCTCGAAGGGTGCTAGAAGATTTCCGTCGAAAGTTTCTAGACAATGGGAAGGATTGGAACATTTATAGGAAAGTAAGAATATATACGATCTGTCGCCACCTGCTGCGCTGAATCGGCGCGCAACCACTACACCCAACCTTGTGTCCATCCCAGCGAAGATCAAGCTCTATAAACCCTTTTATCGCAGATAGGAATACTGTCGGATCGCCGGATTTGCAGCATGACTCGGGAGGCTTCCTTAAAAGCTTGCCTGGCACCCTGCACCCCATGATGGGGCCGTCGGAGAACCAGTACGAGGAGATGCGGGCGCACCGGATCGCTGCAAACGCCGAAAGGCTGCGCTCGTTAGGCATCTTACAAACACATCAGTGCAACCATTCCACGACCCGACGCGGCTCCCTGCAGGCGCCGCCACTCAAAAAGACAAAGGCCTCACAGGTGGACAGTGATCGGTGCTAGGATGCATTGAGAGGGGGCCGACCACTCTCCTTCCGGGTCTGATGCAAGCCCCTTGCCTCCCTGCAGCCTCCAAAGTGTGCGCCGCGGAGATCCAGCAGCCGGCTGCAGACCCCCAGCTCGGCTGCCGTCCAGACGGCTGCGGCGGCCACCCAGCCTGCGGCCCCGGTGCGCCGCCCCAGACTGGCCTTCACCGAGATGGAGCTGGGAACCGGTCCCGAGATAGAAGCCCCCTTCACCCTGCGCTCCATCGGCAAGTGTGGGAGACGCTGGGGGCTGTGGGTTCTTGTGACAGGGGCGAAGGCATGACTGGCTGTGACTCTCACTCCCAACGCTGCACCCTCCCTGAATGGGTCAGGTGTGACGGTGTGGGACCTGGGCTGCATCCACCGAGCCGCCTGGGCAGACAGGTACTGGTCCTCCCCTGGCTGCTTGTACCACCACGCCTACCCAGTGGGCTACCGTGCCTCCAAGACGGTGTTTGGGCGCGAGTACGAGATGTCCATTGGCCTGGGGGAGGCTGGACCGGTGTTCAAGGTCGGTGTGTTTGGGAGGCGGTGATGGCTCTGCGAATGCATGCTGGAGTGGTACTTGCAGCCCGAGCCTGCGGTGCCTGCTCCCCCAAGTGCCACCTGCTGCACTGCCCAGGGGTGTTTGACCGATCCCTGTCCCATCTGTCGCCTCCCTACCAGCAGATCCGAGCCCTGTCGGGTCCCGGCCAGGAGTTCGAGGGGCCCACCCCCACCCAGCCCTGGACAGCCGTGTGCCTGGCCCACCGGACGGGCCAGCGCATCAGCGGGCCCCAGTACTTTGGCTTCTCTGACGCGCTGACTCAGCGCGCCATCGCCGGCCTGTACGACGCTCGGGAGCTGGCTGCGGCGCTCAAGGTGGTGGTGTTCAGGAGGCCTGCGGAGGGCTGGGCGCCATGGGCACCCATGGGCGCAGGCGGCTCGACCCTGGTCTCAGTGGACGTGTCCCCAGCACCCCCCCTGACACCCCTCGCGGCCCTCTCCACCCACAGGAGGGCACGGCCAGGGCGGAGGAGCTGTGCGGGGAGGAGCGTGCGGTGCGTGAATTCGTGGGCCTGCCAGGCGTCGGCCGCGGCGTGGCCACAAGCCTCGCCCTGACTGAGGCGCTGGGAGGGCGGCGGCACACGTGCCTGAGGAGCCTGCGGGCCTGGGCCCGGCAGGAAGGTGGGCTTCTGGTTGCTGGGGGGGGTGGGGTGGGGGGATGATGGTGCTCGCAGTGCTGTGTAGGTCCTCCGGCCCCTCAGGCTTTGTGTGCCGACCCCGCACACCATGTTTGGCTCACCTCCCTCGCCCTTCTTCGACTCCGTTCGTGTGCTATTCCTCTCCGTCCGCAACCACACACCCCAGGCACAGGGCATGCACAGCAGCTGGAGGACTGGCTCCGGACCAGCAGCGAGCTGCCGGGGTCGACTCTGCGCTGGCCCGCCTGGCAGCTGCGCATCGTGCCGGGCCTCATGCGGGACATCGCGGGGGCCCACCGCTCCTGACCTATCCCCAGCACGAGAAAGCTGCCGACGCCCAGCTGCAGCCTTGCCCCTGCCAGGTTGATATGCGACCAACGTGCTGGCTCTGTACACAGATGACAGCGCCAGGGACAGTCCTCCCCATGTCCGGTCACGTGCAACCTGGGCAAGCCTGCGGGAAGAAACATCCTCGGAGCACCGCACAAACAGGGGTTTCAGGGGCCGTGCTGGTGGGAGTACACTCGCCACGCCAGCCATAGGCACGGGGAGGCGAGCGCGGTCGCCACACCCCACCCCAGCAGGCGTGTGCGCAGGCCGCCACTCCCCGCGCTTTCCTCCCCGGCGGCTTTCTTGGGGGCCGGCACGCCCGCCGCGCCCCAGGCGGTGTCCTGCCGGGCGATGCGCTGGAAGTAGGGCGTCCAGTCACTGGCGGGCGACAGAGACCCCATGGACGCCACCTTCAGCTTCTCGGCCGCCTTGAAGCCGAAGAGCATGCGGGCGGCCACCTTGGCCACCTCTGCCTTGCGGTGCGAGCGCAGGGCCTTGTACAGCTCCGCGGCCTCCTCGCCGCGCCCCAGCGAGTCCAGGGAAAGTGCGGCGCCCAGGGCGGCGTCGCCCCCCACTGCGCTTTTCATAGGAACGAGGAGGCCCGCTGCCTGGTACCTGGGCGGGCGAGGGTGGGCGGCTCGAGGGCAGGGGGCACATCAAAGGTCGGCAGGGTGCAAGCGGGGGTTGGGCCAGCGACAGGGAAACAGACGCAAGGACTGTTGATGGCACATGAGCTGTCGTCACACAACCACTGCATCCGTGCCACCCTCTCTCAAGGGCAACATCCCCCTGAGCCAAATCCTCCGTCATCTCACTCGGCCAGCGCGGCTTGGAGCTGCCCCACACGGAAGTACCCTGCCCCACTGTCCACCAGCTTCTGTGCGGCAGCCGCAGCGTCAGGATCGACGTCCAGCCCCACGTTCCTCCGATACTGTGCTAGCGCAGCGTCGATGCGCGCGGTGCGCGCGGCGGCCGCCTCGGCGCTTTCCAGCGCGGCGCCGGGTCGCAGCGTCCGGCCCCCTGCGTGGAGGGGCAAAGGGGGTTGAGGACGAAGGATCTGCAAGAGCGGAGGGCAAACCGAGATACCCTGCCTCCGCAGCCCACCTCCATAGGTCTTGCTGATGTCAGCAGGGCGCGGGAAGACTCCCCAAGTCGACACGGAGGGCTGATACGCACTCCCGTCACTGGTAGCAGCAGCTGTGGTGGAGGCAGCTGAAGTTGATCTTGGGTTGGACCCCGCCTCATCACCCGTATTGCTTGGGACCAGAGGCCGACTTTGCCCAAGCTGAGAGCTGGATGCACCTGGTGGGGCCTGGAAAGATTCAGAAGGGGTTCAGGGGTCTGCATCCAGCATTGAGACGCATGCGCTTCACCTTGCACCAGAGATCCTCCTGTGCCCACCGATCTCAAGGCACCACACACACCAGTACCTACCCTCACTGGCGCTGCATCGGCGTTCTCTGGTCCTGAGCGTATCTGCCCTGCAGCAGATGTGCTAGGTGTAGCTTGTTGTGTGGGTGCTGCATCAGGTGCAGCCGCTGTCTGGGCTGCGTCGCCGTCGACGGTGCCCCTTGCATATGTTGCTGCCTCTTTTGCTCCAGTGGATTTGTTGCTGTCTTTCACATTCTGCACCATCATGTACCGAGGGGTGACAAACACTGAAATTTGACCCTCATGAATTCGAAATTAGACGGTTGGCAGGAGGCAGCCAGGCCTTTCTGCAAACTGATCGACGCCTGGGAACCACAGCACCAGCTAGCCAGAGACCCAGCCATCAGACCTGTGCCTCAGCAGTCTTCTGCTGATAGAGGCGAGCTTTACGGATCCTGGACATGGTCGCCTCACGTTGCACCTCAGCATCTCGAGGACTAACGTTTCGTGCGACCGCCCTATGGCCCACCTGTCGTGCATGCTTGGTAGGCCATGGGCTTAAACAAGGGTGGTGGTTAAGAGTGTAATGTCTCTTTTCCATGTCCTAACATAGGATATTACACATATTGCGGCTTGGAGTTGGGAGTTTGCTGCCTTCAAGCTCTGTTCGCTGTCCATGTTCATGGGAGGTCGCCACCGTTTCCATCTCCTGCGCATGCGAAGCCAATCCTCCAGATTGCCGGAAGACAGATCATTCCTCGGCAATGCAGCTCACCTTTCCTGAATCCTAACAAGCAAGTGAGCATTTTATGCCATGAGAGCATTTGCAAATCCATGCCGGACGGTCAGATGCTGCAGTGAGGGAGGTCATCAGTCCCCACCCCGAAGCCAGCCTCCGCAGATTCCCAGGCGCCTATTCCTAGCTCTCCCTGCTGCTTTGTGGAGTGTGACTCCGCTTCCCAGCCAAGCCTTTGACATATTTAAGTTTCCTGGTACCGACGTCCTTGAGATCATCAAGGAGAGGCGGGAGGCTGCCCTGGCTGCTGATCAGAAAGCAACGGAGGCCTTCGAGGGGAGCGACTTCCTGACACGGCTCAAGGTGATGTCATGACGAGACACGAAGTCCAGTGCTTCGTCATATAATGTCGACCGCATGAAAATGACGCCCTTCACCTCATCCTTTGCAGAAGCAAAGCACAGATAACCAGGCCAAGTGGGTGGCACTTACTGCCAGGGAAGCATGAGTGTTTGATTGCACTGATATGCCCTTGACCTTGACAGATCTACCTTCCAATACTCTTCCCACCAACGAGCAGGAACAAGAGGGCCTTGGATCTCAAGTACTGCAAACGGCAGGCTGAGATGGGGATAGGAGATTGCGGCGGGCTAAAGGTGAGAGATGATGAGAAATCCCATTTCTCAGGGTTTGATCTGTAGGATGTTGCAGTTTGTGAACAGGGTGCTGATGGGCATGAAATAGGCTCCTCAGGTCATCCTGCCAAGGATTCTGTACCTGCCTGGCACACAGAGGGTTCTGAAGCGCAAAGACGATGGGAGCCTGGACTTCACTGAGTTTGAGGAGGCCGCCAAGAAGCTGGATGCATCGGACTTAGCAGCACAGGTCAAGAACCTGCCTTAAGACCTGACAATCATCTGCCTGGCCGTGGCGCCCTGTAATGAGTTCAGAAAGCCATTTGATCAAAAGAGCGCGACGCCAATTTCTCGCCTCCCCGGCTTCCACTTCGAAGACCGAACATGTCCCTTAAACTACAGACCATCAAAATTTCTTGATGTCGACTGCGTCCTAGATACAGGGTTGATCTGGTTGCGGACCATCACCATGTCCGCTCCCACACAGCAGTTCACTGTTCGCGCGGCTGGATCAGACCATGCGTACATGCAGCACTTCATTGGTCGATTCCCACTAGAGCTGCCGGATCTGGGAACTGCGTCCAGCGCCGCGCCATGGCAGATGGAAGCAGAGGAGATTCCCGCAGGGCTCACCCGTGCCGGGCCACCCCCACCCAGAACGTGAGGTGGCAGGACGCTGGAGGGTGTGATGATTGCAATAGATTCTCCTGTACGCCAGGGATCCCCACACCTGTGCTGTGCCTCTGCGCAGGGCTGGGCCCAAGCCTCGGCGCCTCAGACTGAGACGGGAGGGGGTCAGGTCCTATAGGGGCATGCCAGAGGGAGGCCTCGGGTCAAACCAGTTCCTGCTGGTCAAGGAAAGGGGGAGCAACGACTTCGTGGCTATCCCCGTTGAGGAATGGTACAACTTTCGACCAGAGACCGGCAGGCCTGGCCAAACGTGAGGGAGGTCATTGATGGGAGGGGCTCTTGTGTGGCTTCATGCCGGGACAATTGAGGATCAAGCTGTTGACACTTCTAGGGTGTTGCAGCCTCTATGCTGGCCTGTGGACCCAGTGCCTCTTCAATCATGTCACGCATGCTTGCCCCTGGATCCACCGTGCAGGCTGGAGGCTGCAGAGGCTGCGATGGCAGCAGCCAGGCAGCAGCACGATCGCATCAACCCCCGGTTCGTGGCAGCCCTGCAAGCCTCCGGCGCCGACGTGGACGCCCCCGCCCTGCCCTCTGGCGCTGATCGTGATGAGGATGGCGCCGACTCTGACGATGAGTGGAAGGGGATCAAGGCCAGGGCGGCCTCCCACACCGCCCCACAAGGTAACACCATTGCTGGGCAGGGGCAGGGGCGTGCGGGATGGTTCTGCATGCGTGTATTGGAAGCAAGTATTGACCTGGGTTCAGGACAAGGAGCCTCATCAGTTGTCTGGCGAGCTGAGGGCCTCGCCTCTGGTTTGTCGGGAGCCGGCTCTCATCCGCTCCACCACACCAACCACCATGAACGTGCAGCAGCAAGAAAGCCCCTGGGCAGTACGTCAGCTCAGCGGCATGCAGGAGGAGGAGGCGAGGACGAGGGGCCAGACGACAAGGTGTGGGGAGCCTGCTCGGTCCCTTCATTATGCCCTGGTGCCAGACACAGACTGAAGGCTGCTGTGAACCAGGACTCGAGGGGCTGCGGCAAGGCCCACCTTTCTGCTACATGACCAATGCGATGCTGGCCCCTCGTGGAGCTGCTCCCAAACCCACCCCACCTTGCACTGTTGGCCTTCCCTCTCTGCAGGCCGAGGATTGGGACCATGAGGATGAGGCGGCCGACGACGACCTCGACATGGAGGCGGATGAGGGGGAGGGCGGGGTGGAGGCCAGCCCTGTTCGAAGGTGGGAACTGTTTGCTGGGAGTCGGGGTCTCCCAGCCAAGGTTTTGTAGGAAGCAGCATTGCACGGGATGTTTGAGAGCGCTGCCACTTGCCCAGCCGTGACGTTGGTTCACCAATGTAAATCCCTCTGTCATGCTCGCTGCGCAGCCGGAGGCCAATGAGCGACTCGGACGACGAGGGCGCGGCACGGCCAGAGGCCGTGCGGCGCACCATCAAGAAGATGATGCGCGACACGGGGCTGCGAGATTCAGACGCGGAGGGTGAGGCCTGTGTGCCATGGTCCTTGGGAGGGAGAGCTTTGTTGGTAGCGCTGATGGCCTGGGGGGGCCTGATGATTGCCACTGGCGGCACAGATAGCATCCCCAACAACTGCTTCTTTGGGTTGCCCGAGGATGAACGTGGGGACTCAGCAAGGAGCGTGCGCGCTGCTCTGTGCCAGCTTGCCGTTCGGATCCTGGCCTGCCTTGCATCACGGATGCGCCCTCCGCCCTCTTTCCTCCCCTTTTTCCACCGCAGACAGCGACCTGGACGACCTGGATGACGAGGACGACAGCGATGACGAGGACCTGGACGGCACGCCCAGCCTGGACAACCTGCCCGCAGTCCAGCCGCCGGCCGACCCCGCGCCCGCCGCCCCTGCGGCAGGCGCCGTACCCCGGAAACGCAAGGCCACGCCGCCACCCGACGGCGGCGGTGGCGGCGGGGGGGGGATGCCCGCAGCTGTCCGCCGCAGCGTGAGTCCGGCGCCACCCGGCGCGGCTGGCGGGGAGGCGGCGCCGAGCGCAGCGCCGCTTTCCGCGGGCCTCGCCGCCGCCGCCGCCAAGAGGCCACGGGTGGAGCCCGGCGCGGCAGCGAGCGGCGCGGTGACGGAGGAGGAGGTGCGCACGCTGCTTCAAGCCCGGGGACGAATGCCTCTCAAGGAGATTGTGGCTCACTTCAGGGCCAGGGCCACGGGGGACAACGCCAAGGCCTTCACCGCCCTCATGCGGAGGGTAAGGTGGTGGAACGAGAGGAGGATCTTGGATTTGGGGTCCTCTGTGTTCAAGCAGGACGCCACCTCTCTCTGACTTGCTCGCAAGAAGCAACGCATCGGCGTGCGTGGGTGCTCGCATTGACGCCCCTCGCTCTCACAGGCCCTGTGTTCACTCCTGCGCACAGGTGGTGAGACTGGACCCCACGCCCTCGCCGGATGGCCAGAAATACCTCATCCTCGCTTAGTTTCTCATCAAAGGGTCCCGTACTGGGCTGACGCCGCGCGATTTTGTTGTAAAGTGGAAGCCTGACCGTACTTGCACCCATGCGCTTCCATGACAAGGTACAGGGGCGTGATGGGGTCGATGCAAAGGTGCTTGGGCTAGACAGGGGGTCGACTGGACGCACAAGGATGCCCCCTCCTCTTTTCATCGCTGTCTTCAGTCGTCTTCGTCCATCACGAGCCTCCGCGCGCCTCGCCGTGGGCTGGCGACGGCGCCGGGGTCCGGCTTGATGGCAACAAGGCGTTGGGCATCGGCTGCGCCGCCCTCCGCGACCGTGCCGTCGCCTTCCACCAGGTCCACCTCCATGGGCGAGCTGGGTGAGTCCCCCCCCCGCGACCCCTCCCCATCCCTGTCCTCGCCGGGGCCTCCCTCCTCCTTCCCCTCCCGCGCCATGCAGGCGGGGGACTTCCGGTACTCCGGCAGCGGCTCCTCGCTGCAGGCGGGGGTGGGGGGGGTCCAGGGTGGGAAGGCAGGACATGGTGTCTTGGCGGGGTGGCATGCGGCGCCGACGCGAGGCAGCGGGGTGCAGCGCGGGATGCGCAGCAGGCCCTGTGCCATGCAGCCTCCGCGAGCAACAAGTGATCGAGCGCGGGACCTCATCCCTCGCTCGCCTGACCCTACGCACGGACCCCCCCCTTCCCT